CGAAGCTATCCATGTTTAGAATATTAATATCATGTTTAATGTAAAAAGATGACACTTCTTCCAGTAAAGATTCTCAATCATTCTCTCTCATCATTTTGAATCATTCCTTTGATGTTTTCAATAAACTCACAGCATTTTCTATATCTTGATCTTTTTTTGTAATGCTTCTAAGAACTCATTACTATATCTTGATCTTTTTTTTGTAATGCTTCTAAGAACTCATTAGTAACTGCTAATATCCTTCTCAAATAATGAAGCAAGAACATAAAATTAAATTATTCCATAATATTTATTAAAACAACTGCTTCTATTCTCTGTTCTGAGTCCATCCAATCCTCCCTTATAATCTCAAACACGTCAAAAACTAATGAAAACATGTAGACAAATAATTGTAACATAGTGGGAGCCTCAACGGGTATCAATATACCTTTTAAGAGAAATTTCTTTATTCAAGCCTCGTCCACTAGAAATTTCTCCATTTTCAAGTCCTTCAATAATTCCAACATATTGTTTTTCTCTAATCACCTCCATTCTTTTGCATGATGCTACAACTATATTTATAATGCCAGAAATAAAATTAAAGACATCTTCAACTTCATTATGTTTTTTTATAATAGCCACAAGAGTCAATTGAAGTCTGTGAGCAAAACAATATACATAATATGTACTTGGATTGCTATTTAGAATAAGTGTTTTCAAGCTATTGAATTCACCTCGCATGTTACTAGCTCCATCATATCCCTGACCATGCAATTTTGATATGCTTAGCCCATATTTAGAAAGCAAAGCTTCAATAACTACCTTAAGTAAATTAGCAGTTGTATCTCGCACATGTTGAATGCCAAGAAAACATTTAATTATATGCTCATTGTTGTCTATATATGTACAACTACCATTTGTTCCTTAATTGATATGTTATGTGACTCATCAATTAAAATTAAAAATAATGAGTCACTTAGATCTTTGATAATCACATTTGTAATCTCCTCTACAGCAGCTTGAGTAATGTCTTTTTTAATATTTGGAGAAGTCAATTTGTTATGTCTAGGAGCTTCACTGAAAGTAACTCTTTTAACAACTTTATTATTTCTGGAAAGGAAATGCAAGAGCTCTAGATAATTTCCTTGGTTGCTTGAAGATTCACATTCATCATGGCCACAAAATAGATGTCCT